CGCAACACCTGCCTCTCCCAAGGCCGACAATGTGCGGGTCGATCGATAGGAAACAACGCCCAAAGCTTGAGGGATACACACCGGTTAGATTTCGGCTTGCCTCTGCCGCTGATGCGACAAGTGCGGCATGCGCTATGGAAGATCTCTTTGGGGGCTGTCAAGATTGTCCCAAGCACTCGGGAAGCGTTCGCAGAGACCCTAGAAATAGCGTCGAAGAGGGCTGGATTCAGGGCCCAGTGATATGCTCGGTAGCTGCAAAGCCAAGCTGAAGCATGACAATGCAACTTTGAACGGGCATGGCTGTTTATCTGTGCCTACGAAAGCCGATATTGAAGTCTAGGCAGACAGATGAGGTTGAGGGCTGTGAGGCTGGGAGTTGGCATCTGGCAGAAATGCTAACACCGGGGGGCCGTCAGAACGAAAGGGAGCCAGCCAGCGAGGTGACAATGTTTGATGACAATGTTTGAGTCGCGATGTGGTCGCGTGGCACGGGTGGCTTGATTTCGGAGCTTCAGCTCCTACGCAGTATGACGCTCGCAGGAAGAAGACATAGGGTTTCCGACCGCTTCAGAGTGGTGGAGATATGGCCAAAAGAAGGAAGTGACGGCCATCAACCATGCAAGTAAAGCTGACAAGAAAGCAAGAAAGTAGGCAGATGGACGCGCAAATCCAACATCGAAATCGACGAAGGACCGGGCCAGAACTGAATAGAACGACCAGGGGAGCCAGGCACGCAGCAACAGGACTGGGCGGAACCCGGGAGCGGTGTTAGTGTTGCCAGGCTGCGTGCAATACCCAACGGGAGGTAGGTAGCTAGCTAGCTCGGGTGAGGTTGTAAAGACGGAGATGGATACGTACCGAAGGGCAATCGGACCTTGCTTGGCCTTGGAACACACAGATCGCGATGAGCTGGCTACTGTGGTACCCAAGGAAACCCAGAAGACGGGGGACGAGTTGAGACACAAAACGGATTACGGATACCAGGAGCGAGAGAACTTGGGAGCCTCTCAAACGCCCCCCCAAGTATCATATTCTAGGTTTTAGTCCACGCTCTCATTCCGCGGCTCTCTTCCCCCACCCGCTTTTTTCTCTGTGTGTCCTGTGCCACATGAATTGATTGTATCAAGAAATCTAGAATAGTGCTGATGTGCGGCGAGGTTTCGCTCGTGCGTACATGCCTCTGTTCTCTTTCTCCATGCTGTGAACGAAGCAAGGCCTCAAACGAAGGGGGGATAAGGGGATTAAAAAAAAATGGTTTATCTTCTACCAAAATAATAATAATAATAATAATAATAATAAGATAATATCTGAAGTACTAGTGCTCCAAGTCCAGGCCCCAAGCCAACTCTCCCCCACCCCGGGGTACGTAGCCGCCCGTCGCGAGAAGTCGGGGAGCTACCCTGCAGGGGATGGGTGTTGGAACCAGGGGTGCGATTAAGAAGCAGGATGTCGCCCACAGTGTCGTGAGAGTGAAGTGAGAGTGAGGTCGTGGTGTGGAAATGTGGGTAGGGGAGGGGTCAGCGGGGCCCAGGGGGCGCTTTGCAGAAGAGACGCCTTGGCCGGACCCTCCTTCCAGTGGTCCCAGTGTTCCCCAATCCCTGTCATCCTTGCCTTTGCACCTTTTTTTCACCGTATCAAGGTTCAAAGTACCTTAATGGCGTCGAACCTTGGACAGCTACGAGTGCATCTCAGGTCGGGTACCTTAGCCCACGTACCTTTGGCGGCTTCCCGGAGCGACCAAAGGTGCGCAATTCTCCTTTCCCATGCCCATGCCCCAAATCCCCCCCCTCCAAAACAACTCCCAATCCATTACCCACCACCCTTTTCCATCCACCACGCCTACCTTCTATTCTACCCATACCTTTACCTTGCATCCCATCCATGCCGAGCGGCCCTTGAACGCTGTGCCAGACACCTCGCTTCGGCCCACCCCCCAACCCGCTGACCTTCCGAGCTTCCTCTCTAAAGGAACTGCTGCTTGGTATAATACTCAGCCTGCGCCTCATTTCCCATATCGCCCTGCGTCCGCTAGTCCACGTCCTCAACATCGCTCAAAATATCTACCAGATCCACCCAGCCTATACTCAGCTGTCAACTGCCATCCAGGACAAATATCCCATCGTCAACTCATTGATCCGACTATTGTTGGCGAATACCACCGTCTTGAACATCACCGTCGCCTCTCCCGCAAACAGCGGATATTGTTCCAGCACGACGCCAAACCAACAACAACAACAACAACAACAACAACATCCCTTTCCCACCGGTGTATGATCACAAACTGATCAAAAATGCATGTTCGAGACGCAACCGGCCGCCAGGTCTCCCTTCTCAACGACGAGCCGTCAAGTGCCCCTCAGCGCCTAAGCTATCGCACTGCGAACCACATCATCTCACAGCCTTTCCACCCTGCACCGCGCAGCAACTCTTCGTCGCCCCATACCCCAGAGCTTCTCCGGTCAGACTCGTACGACTCGAACGCCAGCAGCGACCCCATGTCCCCTCTGACGCCGACCTCTTACGACCTCGCGCGAGCCAGTGCCTTCGCTTCTGGCCAAGCAATGTACGACGAGTTCGAAAAGCGTCCTGCTTACGCCAACAACAGCCGCGCAAACTCATATGAGGACGAAAGCTCAGCGACGTCGCCGATGCCTGAACGTCCGGGCAAGAGGTACCCGTGTCGCTATCGCGATTCCCACGGCTGTGAGAAGACGTTTACCACTTCCGGGCACGCCTCCAGGCATTCCAAGATCCACACGGCTGAGAAGGCGGTTCAATGCACTTTTCACGGCTGTTCAAAGAAATTCACTAGGGCGGACAACATGAAGCAACATCTGGAAACTCACTACAAGGACAAATCGCGCTCTTCGGCTTCGGCGGCGAAGGCTGCCGCGCGCTCATCACTCGGTGCCCTTTCGGCTTCCGGTCGTCGCTCTTCGTCCTCGTCCTCCAGAAATGTCGTCGGCAGTCGTTCCTCCCGCGACCAACCCATGTGGGACGCTGAGTCATATGGATATCCTCCTGGCCAAGCTCCTTTGCCTTCCCCTGGTGCTAATGGCGCCTGGGACATGTGCGGCCTGAACCTGCCTCTTCTCAGCCGCCCTACTGCAACTAGAACCCCCAGTAGTGGGCTGGATGCCCTCGCCATGGCGGTAGCTTGCCAGGAGGGCGTTTAAGTGGTTGCTGCCTTGGATTTTTGGGAGTGGTCATATCTGGCGTTGGCCAGTTTCGACCCTTCGGCTATTCGCTCTAATAAGCCACGAACCTTCGACTCAGTCCCTGTCACTGCTTGTTCAACATGATTCACGAAGTAAAGGATGCGCCTAGGGAAGGCATACAAGACGGACCTTCTTTCAACTCAGGAACTACACCTCGCTTTCCGTACATTTCTCTTATTTCATTATATCGTCTCTTCATGGGATATCGGCTAGAGGTCGCGAAGCATACGAACGGCGCACCTGCACATACACGCGGTGGGAACGGTAACAAAAACGATGGCGTTTGGTGGGAATTGTTTCATGATATGGTAAGGTCCTGGGCGGACTTTGTTCTTGTTTGGCGTTCTTGTGGCTTCGCACACATACCCAGATCCTCGATTTATAAGCAGCTGAAGGCAGACGCATTTGCGATTTTTCGCTTTGGCGGAGAGATGGACCCCCGAGGGAGTTGGGATACACGTGTACGAAGGAAATCTCCGGTGAGGCATTAGTTCTCACATGGCAGGAAGGGCTTAGGGTGGTAGAGGCAGGTGTACACTGGTTTAGCAGCAACGTGTTGAAGGCGAGCCTCCTTCATTGCGGAAAGAATTTTGCAGGATGGAATCTGGAGATCTGTTGCACATGTACCGACGACATGTCGAGGGCACCAGCCACTCTGTCCCTCCGCGGGTCAGAATTCGCCATCTAGGCCTGGTCGAACAGGGTTCACAAGCGGATACGAAAAAGTAAAAGTTTTCAACCAGGCATACCATTGTTTTTCGTGATGATATACGGCGATTTCTCGCCTACGTTCATGTGGGCAACTTGTGAAAAAAGATGCACTACAAAACGCCGGCTTCTTGCCTGCCTCTACAGATGTTGCCTCTCCAGACGTTGCCTCTCCAGACGTTGCACGTCGGCGAAAGCGACATTGCGTACAACCGTATAACCGATTTGTATTTGAGTCATCAGCATCGAGATGATGTTCATCATCGCAACGCATTCCGGCCCCCCTCCCTCCCTTCCCCGGGGAAGACATTCGCCCAGAGTGCTCACATGCACAAACATGAATTGACGGTCGCACCCACGGAACAAACTTGATGTAGTCTCACAGACAGCGGGCAGTCTGCGTCGGTACTTCTTCTACCTTTGAACGCATCGAGATGCACACTCGGGCCGAGGAACGGGGAGGAGCAACAAGAAGAAGAAAAGAGAAGGGGTGGGGGAGGGGGGAACCGTTGGTTGAGGATTGGAACGTATTTACCGGCGGAGTTGGATGTCTCACACTGGCACTAACTCTGTTTGCCATGCGCTGGAATGACTGACTGGCGTTGCTCAGGAACACATGGGAAACCCATGGGCATCGACTGGAATGTCATCGATCGCCTGTCGTTGGTAGGCCGTTCAGTCCATCTCCCATTCGTTCCTCATGTTGCAAGCGGTCATCACGGCCCAGACATCCGGATGAGGGTTGAAGATCGGTGATCTCGCGGGAAGAGTGAGCACGGCGTGAAAATTGTGGGAGTGGCCAAGGTTGCATGTTTCTTTTTCTTTTCTTCCTTCTCACGCTTTCGTCTATCTCGTGCGTCTACCCCTTTAAACAAACCCCACCCCATCCCCCGGCTGGGAGACAATTTGACTCAGATCAGCTGGTGCGAGCTAAGCCATCACCCGGTTTCTTCGCGTTTTCCATGACAGCAACTCCTCTGCGCCCTGCCCTCTTCTGCACTCGGGTTTGCTAGCTGGCTGTCGACTTGGGGCGGGAATAGAATCGACCTCTTTTGCGAACGCCAAAATTGTTCGTCAAGACCAAAGCTCACTCTTCTCGGTGCACAACCTCGCCATCTCCAATTGCTCGTCTGTCTTGCAAACCAAGGTACGTGACCTACCGTCCGGCTTTCCGACTTCTTGCACAGTGGATTCAATCATCTTGCCGTTCAACTCGTCGTCAATCGTGAAGCCCAAGCAGGCACACTGGTCAACGACTTGCCTCCTCAACTTATCGCTTTTCTCACCGATGCCGCCAGCAAAGACGAGAGCGTCGACCTGACCGCCGAGAGTGACGAAATATGAGCCGATGAAGCCACACACTCTATCAATAAAGATGTCGAAGGCGAGCTTGTGGGTAGGCTCGTCGGAGGTTGCTATGGTGCCGAAGTTGGTTGTTCCTGTGAGCGACTTCCACCCGGCTTGCTTGTTGAGGATCTCCTCGGCCTCTGTAAGATGTAGTTCCGATGTTGAGTTGGGAGATAACTTTCCAACATCGCTCGCATAGTGGAAGACCAAACTAAGTGCGCCTAAGTCAGACACTAGTTCACGGGCTGGGGCATTTGAGGAAGAGAGGCACTGACCTGGGGTCTACGTTACCGCTTCTTGTCGCCCCTGGTAAGCCGGCAACAGGGGTGAGGCCCATGCTGGTATCCCAGCTTTGGCCATTGCGAATGGCGCAGGCGCTTGCTCCGCTTCCCAGGTGCAAAGCAATGATGTTGATATCTTTGGGATCTTTGCCGAGAAAATCAGACACGGATCGCGTGATGAAGGAGTAGCTAATGCCGTGAAAGCCGTATTTTCTGAGACGATTCTTCTTGGCGATTTCTTGGTTGATGGGGTAGGTCCGAACGTGTTCTGGAATCGAAGAGTGGAATTGGGTATCGAAGCAGGCGACGTTGACAGCATCAGGCAGCTGCTCCACGCAGGAATTGACAATCTTGAGAGCTGGGCCGTTATGAAGGGGGGCAAGGTCGCTGAGCTCCTCCAAATGGTGGTACGTGTCCGAGGTTATTATCTGCGAGCAGGGATAATCGCCGCCATGTACGATGCGATGGCAAGTCAAAGTAATATCGTCTTTTCCCTTGATTTGAGACAGCTCCGGGTCGTCTATGAGCGTCTTCAGAAGGACTTTGAAGGCGTCGTCCTGGGTGGCAACCTCGTCCTGAAGCTTTTCGTCTTTCTTGACCTCGACATCGGCACGCGTATAGGAAATCTGAGCGGGTGGGGCCGTGAGGCCGCTGACTGATGTCTCTGCGAGCTGGCGGGGTGGCTGTCTAGGCTCAGCCGCGTAGACGGAGATCTTGACAGAGCTAGATCCCGCGTTGATGGCCAGGATAATCTTCATAACGAAAAACGCCGACTATGTATGACGACTTGGAGTTGGGGGCAAATTGTTGGAAGGAAGGATTTGTCTTGGTTCCCGGTAGTCAGTCTGCTTGCCAAATTGGTTTTATATCTGGGACTGCGGCGACGTCCTCGTCTCCGGGGTATGATTTCGACGTTCGGACCGACGCTGTTGACGAGCGAACGGTTGAGGCAAGGAAGCAGTCGTTGACTGAGGTAACCTTGCGACGAGGTCGATCAGCCGATGTTTGGCAGTGGGATGGTTTGGAAGTTGGACGAGGGGTGGTGCAGAGAGCAGAGAGTGCGGCTGGACAGGTAGCTAGGTACTTTGGGCCGGCACCATCCGTTGAGTCGACCAGACCAGTGCTACCTGATTTCCCATGGCCATACATGAGGTGGGTTGAGAAGTAAGGTGCAGTCACCAGTCAGGCAAGGCACCAGACAGACCTTGGTACTGGGTATGGTGACGTTGATACGGGCCGCTGACAGCACCCCCACTCTCGGCTGAAATTACCTAGCGTCCAATGGAAGTGAGTAGGACACTGGATGGAGCTGCCGGAACCCCGCGCCGTTCCTCGCCCTATTCCCTGTCCAGTACTCTGACGTGTGGGCTTCAAGGTTTCCTTGTGGGTCTGTCAAAGCTGTCAACCTGGAAGCCTGCCCATGCTCTGACCTTATGTGGCCACGAGGGACCCAGCAAGCAGGCCTCGCCAGCCATGCATTCCATGCACACACCACTCCACGCATACACACACGGTTATTCCGTGGCACCACTACCCACAGCCAGCTCTCCAAGCCCTTCTGGGTATCGTGATGTTGGCAATCTACCCAGTCAAGAACTCTTGGTTTTACAGAGACCGTCTCTTGCACCGTTCAAGGAGTCGAGTCCGACTCGTAGGAGTCTGGTGGCTCGACGACTGGCTGAAGCCCACTACCTATTTCAGGTGACGGCAGTTCCGACATTTCTCCTGGGAGAATTTGGGGCGACGGCAGCTCAACGTGGTGCGGTGGAAAGGGTATGCCATGGAATTCGCTGTCGGAGCTATGCGCCACGACCCATTTCTCGAGAAATCTGCGATAGTCTGTCGCCTGGCCGTCAGCGCTCCTGTCTACTTCAACAGCCCATTGTATCGTCGTTTTTCTGATTTTGTAGGCAGCACGGTGGAGTGAGACATACCTTCACGTTTACTGAACTGAATACCCAAGTAGCGCATGTCTAGGGTGCCGGGCGATGAGCTTGCTTCCGAGTTGGAGCCTCCGCCCTGCGAACCCGAACGGACACGGGGCCGCATGCGATGTGAGAAGGCGAACCGGGAACGTGACGAGCCACTATCCGGCGCACTGCTGCGCCGGCTACCGCGGACCGTCAGACGAACCTGGCGATGCCGATCGTCGCGATTGCGCAGTTCGCCTTCAAAATTGTGTATCTCGTATTCCTGATGCTGACGGCCTCCGGCGCGGTTGGCGAACACGGTCAGTGAGTGATAGGTAGAGTAGCGGTCTCTCCACAGCTTTAGTCTCTGCACCAACCCCATGCCCCTTATATTGCCAAAGCCGTCTGTTCGTCCATGCACGTCGGACCATATCACATCAATGTCGTAGTAGTCGACTAGGTCTTTTCGGCGGACATCTCCTTGGAATCGCAGAGAGCTCTCGACGGTGGTAAACTCGTACTTGACTTCCATTAAATGATCGTGCATGACCATGCCCTCGCCTGTCGTATACCTTATGCGGTGTGGCTCACGGAAGCTGACGTACAGCTCAAGTTCGCATGGGTCTGTGTACGGCCGATGGCGGGAGTGAAGGGTATGTGGAAAGACATCGGCGGGAACATCGGACGGGACTAGAAGACGGTCAGGCTCTGAGTGCAAGCACGAGAGGGAGGATAGGCGGAGATTAAGTACGGAAGTGTTCAAGAAGCTCGCTCTGGTAGCTGCACTGCCACAGAACGCGGCGCTGCTCGGAGCCGACCACCTCCCAAGGGCCTAAGTAGACAGTACGCTCGTTGGGAGTGTTTTCAAAGAGGGTTCTAGTAGTTTGTGCCATGTCAGAGAGGGGAGTGAAAGGGAACCGAGCCTATGGAGACTGCAGCGAGAAAGAGGGAGCAAAAGAGCACAGGGAGCGAGATCGTACATGGTCGCTTGATAGCCCGGGGGACCAAGATCTAGCGGGCGGAGGGAGGCGTGAGGGGCCGAGGCTTCGGAGGTGAGAGCTGAGATGCTTGAAGCGCCGGACGTCGGGGTCCAAGTTGAGTCAAGCGGGCTTGCGTATGGTTGGGCGTAGGAGGGCGGGCGGCCAAGAGAGGAAGAAGTAAAAGAAGAGCCGGAAGACGAGGCGGCCATGCTTGAGAAGGTTTGGCCTATAGACTCAGAAGTCCAGTGCTGGTCAACAAATCAAGACGGTCTGCAAAGGGCAGGGAGCGCAGTCATGACATGGTGTTGACGATCTCAACTCGATTTCCTTTTATTGCTGCAATGGTCGTCGTCGTCGCTTTGTCTATGTTGTCGCAGTCGTCAGGGCCCAGGTCGAGCTGGCGGTGTCTCGGGAGTGCGGAGGGTTGGGGAGAAAGACATTCAAACGGCGTCGCGTCGGATATGGGTGCGTCGGAAATCAGAAAGTCATTGAGCCTGGTGCGCTAGACAGATTGCTGGAACGTTCGAGTTGTAGATGCAGCGGGCTTCGCTACTCGTCAGCATTCCGGCGTAGCATGGCAAGAAGTTTGACATGCAGAGCGTCCGCGAGCTGAAGATGAGGGATGGTCGGCGACAAGTCGGCGGACGGGGTCTGGCAGGTGGGTGTGTCGTGGGTTCTTGGCCCCGGTACCGAGAAAGGGGACCAGGCCAACGGAGCGGGGTCGCAACGTCGGGAGAGCCCTCCCAGCGGGACCTAAGGTATGTAGGTAAGGTAGGTAAATAGGTAGGTAGGTAGGTAGGGTGTGCCCGCCCAGCGTGGTGTGTATCATGCAGTACTCTCTCTCACAGCTGTCGCCCGATACCTTGGCTTCAGCCTCCATGCTTTCTTCACCTTATTACCTAGGTAGGGCCAAGGCAAGTCGGTGCAGCGCAGCTGCGCTCCCACTCAAGTTCTTGGGTGGGGTGAGGGGGGAGAGAGGCCCGCGTGGGGAGCTCATCCCATCCAGCGTCGTCTAGTGTCCTATTTTGGCACGTCCACCTGGGAAAACAAGCCCAACCGCGTGGTCGGGACGGCCAATGACAAGGCTCATAGGGGCGGCATGCGCGAGCGACTGGTGCTGCGTTTCTCTCGCTGCTCCTTGCCAGTTTGCTGGACCCTGCCGCCATCCATGCACTCTTTTCCTCGACCATTGCTCACGCTGCAGAGTTGTGAATTACGACTGGTGCGCGAGCCAGGTCACCATCTGCAATTACATCTTAGCATGAGGTGCCCAAACAAAAACCCCTGGAGGCTGAGACTGCTCACGCCTCCGGATCCTCCGTAAGGTCGGATCGGGTAAGGTAAGGTAAGGTAGTGTAAGTACCCGCGTTACCTGGGTGTAGATGTGCGATGCGATTCACTCAGTCAAGGTAGGATAATCATTGTAAGCCTTTTTCTTTTGGTTTCTACTTTACTATCCGTCTGCAGGTTTCTCAAAACCCCCATTTTCATTGTTTTCGTCGCCCTCTCACTGCATCTCCAACCTCCCAGCCCTTCTGCCTACCTACCTTCCCTTAAGGCACCTCAGGTAGTGGAGGTGCGAATACAGTCTCCGTAGGTACCTACGAGCCTCCCGCCAACCTCGAGCGAAACGGGTCTGCCCCGGTAAGGTAGAGCGACCCATTTGCCCACCTCGCCTGACTTTCGCGACCTCTCTCCCCTTCTCTACGTCGTTCCCTGCTGCCACCAAACACCTGCCCTTATTACTTTGTTCCTCTCTGTATTGGTCGCCTTTCGCGCAGCGCATTCAATGCCCATAGGCCCCGCCGATGCTGCGTCTCTCCCCTGTTGCCGATCTGTACACATAGTCAACTTACCCATTTCCGCGAAACAACATTTCATCCCTCTCCAAGCATCGGAGTGACCCGACGTAGCCTGTTGCTGAGCCATGTCGGCTCTGCCCGATCCTCTGGTGAGGAGGAATCGCGGCTTTTTGGGCAGTGATAGCTCTGCCTTGCCCCCCCGCGATGATCAGGTACGCCGTCCATTCACCTTCGCTTCCGCTTCGGTACTCGAAACGGACCTGGACCGCTACTAACTCGTCCCCCAGGATCGACGCCAGCTGCGATATGAACTTGACCTCAACTCATGGAATCTCCGCATCTGGGGCGTGGCAGCTTCTGGCTTTCTGACAGACTCGTATGTCACTTCCTGATGTCGCAAACAACTCTCACTTTGTTCTCATTTTGACTTCCTTTACATTCAGATACAATCTCTTTTCTACCAATGTCATTCTCGCCTCCATTGCCTTCGTATACTGGCCATCACACGGCTCGAGATGGCAAGGCTTGCTCATCAACTTCTTCACTCTCCTGGGCTCTGTCATCGGGCAGCTTTTGTTCGGCTTCTTGGCTGACTTCTATGGCCGGACCCGTCTCTATGGTATCGAGCTCGTTCTTGTGATCGTGTCCACCATCGGAGTAGCAACGAGCAGCTATGGCTTCGACGACATGAGTTTCCTAGGACTTTTTATCTGGGTCCGTTTCTCAAATAGGTTCTTTCCCTCTGTTTCAATAGATTGAACTGACTCGATTGGTTCATAAAGTGGCGCTTCGTCATGGGTATAGGTCAGCCTGCCCTCCAGCATGCTTGCTTCGTTTCCAAGGCCCAGAACTAATGACCGATTCAGGTATCGGCGCGGAATACCCTCTCAGCGCAGTCATAACCTCAGAGTGGTCGAGTACGCAGTCGCGAGGGACCATGATCTCTTCCGTAGGTTCCGATGAGTTTGATAGTTGCTAAAGTTGTACTTACATAGCTCTCTGCAGACCTTCATGATGCAACCTATTGGACAAGCTTTGGCTCAGTTGGTGGGTCTATGGGTGCTTGTTGGTCGGGAGCAAAGCGCGGGTTTACAAGAAATGCAATGCGGCCTTGACATGAAGTTTGACAGAGAGTGTCGTCGTACGGTTGACGGGATTTGGCGCATCGTCATCGGCTCAGGTGCTGTCCCAGCACTCTTGGCTATCATATTCAGGTTCTTCCTGTTCGACTGTGGACTATACAGTCTAGAGGTCCGTAATAAGCCCGGTATTGCTCTGAGGAATACGCAAAGAGTGTACGGTGCGCCTCCTGGTGCACCGGCTGGGTATCCCATGGCTACCGCTGATGGAATGCATACCTCCAACTCGACACAGCCCATGCCCATTCAGTTCTCCAAGGAGGATCTTTACAAATACTTCATCAAGGAAGGAAATTGGTACTATCTCCTAGGTAGGCAAGCACACCTCCCCCGGGACGAGGAACTCTTGGTTGTCCGGGTCGATGAAGCCCCCATCACTGACACCGTGCAGGCACCGCTGCAACATGGTTTTTTCTAGGTAAGCAAGGAGATTGTCAAAAGCCGGACTTTGACGCCGTGAGCGAAATGGCTGAAGAAATGAACCCTTCTCACAGATGTTTCTTTTTACGGGCTATCACTCGATAACAGAGGGACCCTGTCAGACATGTGGGCAACGACGGGACCGACCCCTATTGACGAAAGGCTGTCGTGCTGGAATTCAAAATGGGAAGATGGTAATGCCACAGCCAGGATATGGAGCAAGACCGGCCTGCCGATTTGGCAAACGGATGCAACATTGCCGTGCAACACAATTTATGACGTGCTCCTAGAGCAGGCCAAGCAATATCTGCTGACCGTCTCTCTCGCCTCCATTGCCGGCAGTGCCTTCTTCGTCATATTCGCGAACCGTATCCCCAGACGTCTATGGCTGACGATATCCTTTTTCGTTCTCGCCATCCTATTCGTCATCACGGGCTGCGTGTACTATGGGGTCAACCGTACTGAAGGTGCGCCAGCTACCATCGTTTTCGTAGCATTGTGCCATTTCATGTTCAACTTTGGTAAGCCACTGGGTCTTGCCGCAGCACCATCCCGTCTCTTGTCGAGAACACGTCGGTTGACACACGTCCAGGGGCCAACACACTTACATTCATCATCCCGGCTGAAATATTTCCGACTTGCTACCGCTGTACGTGCCACGGCATCTCTGCCGCTGCCGGAAAACTCGGCAGCATCGTTGCACTGCTCGTCGTCTATGGGATCAACTCGTCCTACACTGCCGCGAACCGACAGGGCCTAATTTTTCTCCTTTTTGGCTCGTTCGTGGCCATCGGCGCCGTCTTCTCCTGGGCCTATCTACCCGACTCCCAGCGGTGGACGATAGACGAGGACGGGCGACGTGTGCTGGAGCAAAAGACTCTTGAAGAACTGGGTGAGGGGCGGGAGAGGGCGAGGCAACTCGGCGAGGTCATCACTGTCAAAGATAAATGGCATGATTTGAAGCGAAGGAGATCATCGCCTACACCTTCACAGGCTACTGATCCGTGAAGGGCTAGCTGTATCAGCCCAGGATTACATGTCAAGAGTACGATTTCAACGCTTGCAATTTCATCATTTATTGCACGCCAACACCTTATCAATCGGCAGCAACTCATTGTTTTATCGAGGCCTGTGGCATTTGACGTCTATTGACTTCTTTCAACTTTGTCGATTGAAAAACGGCATCCGAGACATGAAGCTTTATCGACGTCAGGTGCCTATATGACCATCCGGATCCAGAGCAATCTCCAATAACTCGACAGTGTCTGCGTAAATATCCTTTCCACTCGTAGTAGCTCTTACATGCGCGTTGTTCTCGAGAGAATCTAGCCACTTGGCCCACCGTAGTCCTGGCGCCGGAGCAGTCCAACCACGGAGCGGCTGCAGGATTCGAGAGAGGCGGAGGGCGAAGGGGGCAAAATGGATATCAACCAGGGAGAGGCTGCTCCCAAGGAAGAAGGGTCCCTGTGGAAAATTGCGTGTTGGTTAGCAATGCTTGTGGATCGGAACCCGGCTGACGCGAAACATGTACGTGACATGCAAAAGGGCACCCATTACCTCTTCATCAGCAGCAAGAACTAGGTCCTTGATAGACTCTTGGAGTTTCTCAATGTATTGTGAATGCTGTGCCACGTCGTGGTTGTGGAGTAAGCGGTAGAAAGCAGGAACGAGGCGAGAGTTGATCTTCAATCATCGTCAGCCTAGATAATCGGAATTAGCAACAGCTTCTACGTACGTGGTCGATCCATAAACGACAATTCGCACGGAGACGCGAATCAGTCGGAAGGAGCGGAATGGCCTTGTCCATTTCTTCAAGCTGAAAGGGTTAGTTCGACGAGGTGTTTGAATACGCCAATAAGATCTGGAGTGCAAGAGAGACTCACATATTCCAGTATCACCGCGCTCTCGGCACAGGCCCAATCACCTTGGCGAATTGCAGGCACAGCCCCCCTAGGATTGGCTTCGAGCAGTTCCTGCGATGCGGGTGCTTTGTACGGATCTTCTTCGCAGTACTGATATGCCAGTCCTTTGGCCTCGAGGGCGATCCAAACTCGCTGGGAGAAAGGGCTACGTGGTTCGGATGCATCAGCAAATGTACGAGTCAAACGGGGAGAGTTTCTTTTGTCAACATACCAGTAGCATGCTGAGTAAAGTTTCAGATCGCTATCCTTTTCGTGCTTCTTGATTGTCCAATGTGCCCTACCCGAGGCCTTCTTGAGACCGTCACTCTGTACATAAATTGCCAGGTAAGTTATTGTCGCATCGACCCATCACGATGGTTGCGAGGAGTTTCTTACTTTGGATGCCTCCTGATTTTGTTTAACAAGATGGCGTTGAATGCTGTTCTTCTTGACCTCATCGCTCTTTGCAAGACTATGCTTGTGCGGGCCGGGGATGCCGCTGATGCTGATATGACCGTTCACTCGCTGAATGGTCCAGAACTTTTGTCCAATAGCGGGCAGATTGTTCATCGTAGCCGGAAGAATACGCAGCTGTTTCTCTCCGGGGGGATCAAGAACCGTGCGCGCTCCGTTGAGCGCCTGGACACCATCCAGGGGCACATAACTGCCATCATCCAGATCGTGCAGCGTAGCCCCAGGAAAGTATTCAGTGATTTTGATTTTGACATCGCAGAGGTTCAACTTCCGGGAAACGCGATTTCTCCTCTTCTTGTTCGGATCATCTGACTTCTTGGTCCCCGGTGGTCGACCCTTGAGCCGACAGTCCCAATAGTGAGATATAAAAGGCTTTTTCTTGTACGTCTGTGTCGACCTGTGGGAGTAGACATTGTCTACGTGAGGGAAATACGCCTCAAATCTGCGGCCAGTATGAGCACTGGGACCCATCTATCATGGAAATCTTATATTTGTTTTCCCTCTTCAGGCGGGGGGAGAGACTTGCTGGTCGTTGCTGAGGATGATGAGCCCGTCAGCGTCAAATAGCTTCTGCCGCCACTCGTCAAGATTTGGAGGGTCGATGACCCATTTACTGCTGAGAAGACTACCATGAGGTCTCCAGCCTGGGGCTGTAGTGCCGTCAATAGGGATGTAACCACTTGGACCGACAAGTGATTCTCCTAGCCTCACTGCCGCCGCATTTGGAACAGCGGGACCAGGCGTTAAGATGCCGAACGAGCCGTGTTGATCCGGCAGTGGCAGAGGCTGATGAGCGTGACCACGAGAGTGTCCGTGAGGGGATAGCGGTGGTTGCGTTGGTGCATACGTGGTCTGCACGACGGGCCCAATAGGATGCTGCTGTTGCTCGCGGGCGTGTTGTGTATCACTCATATCACCATGACAGAGAGGGTCGGAGGTCTCGATGTCGGCCAAATCGATCGGGGGTCCGGACCGCAAGTGGGTTACGGGGGCGGCGAGTTGCGGAGCGGGTAGGAGTTGTTGCTGCACGATCACTTGCTGTTGCTGCTGCGCTTGCTGAGAGGGAATGGAATGGGGACCATGAGGAGAGGCCGCACTGCCTGTGCCTGGACGTAAGTCGAAAGGGCCCGCAGACTCAGGCATTGGTATTTGGATGTTGTGTTGCTGCTTTAAAGCGTCATGCATTCCATGTCGCTGATGGTAGTGTTAGCAGGTGCGAAAGTGGCCGGAGGGCTGTCGGACCTCAAGGTACCTGAGGTAGCCAACCACGCCAACCAACTCAACTTGTCAGCAGCGGGGTTTGCGGCAGGGCAGCGGCTTGTGCACGGACCAAGACGAGAACTGGGCCACCAACCCCGGAACGGACCATCCAGTACTGCGGCCTATTCGTAGCTGACATACGGATATACCTGAGTACCTTCACATAAACATGCAATTCTTCCTTCTAACTGTTGGTATTGCATTGCCATCATGAGAGTCGTGTGATTTATTCCTAAGCCTCGCAGGGTCCGAAGTTACCCACCAAGTCGAACATCATGTCACTACCAGCGTAGCTCTATTTACCCCTCAGTTATACACATATCCAAAGCTGCAAGGCCGCCGGTCGTACAGGATATTCTTCACCCGTTTCCGTTTCCTGTCTCAAAAAGCCTCCCTCGAGTCCAGTCCAAGCCCATCACAAGACACATCTTCCAAGCCCCCCCTCAGTTTGAAGCATCCCACGACGAAAGATCCATTGCATCCATCGGCCCCATATTCATCAATGACCGCAACACTCCTTCGGCGACTGGCGTCATACCCGTCTGCCCTTGTAAGTCTCCCCATCCGCTGGGCATTCCAAAATCTGCCCCAGGCGTCGCCGGCATGGAAAACCTCTGGCTTGGCGTCAAGCCTGTGCCCCTGATCCCAAAAGCGCCAGCATCGTTGAAAAAGTTTACATTTGCGTCTCCGTTGTTTTGTGAGTCGATATTCTGGTGCCCAGCGACGGGACTCGCGTCGAAAGAATTTCCGCCACCCGAGGCAATGTTCATTCTTTGCTCCGAGGCCGAGCTAGAGTTAGGTGTCGGTCTGTTCGACTGCTCTCCGTCGGGCGAGCCAGAGATGTTGTTGTCGCCGCTGCTTTCACTTTGCCCAAATCCAGTCATATGCCCGCTGCTCAACCCAGATTTGTCATATAGAGAACCCGAGCTGGGAGTCAGGACTGATCCATGTACCTGGACTCCAGGTCTGTTCCCCTCGTATGCTATGGGCTGTTCGGCCGACAGCCAGTTCTGACCTCCAAACCCGGCGGAGGCTGAATTCGGACCGCCATCTGTGTTTAGCTCGGGCTCAACAATACTTGGTGCCGCCGCCGCGTTGCCATTGTCGCCCCCAACCTTCATGAAGTGGCATTCGTTGCGGTAGGACATGATACCCTGCACCCCTTCAGGGTCGTCGCATACCGGCCCACGGGTCCCACCGTTTGCATTGGGCTGCAGCGTACTCATTAGCTAGCGAATTGGAGGAACGCACTTTCCATGTTGCAACTCACGCTATCACCACTGCGCGGGAAAGCTGACTTCAGCTTCGGTATCCGCATCGCCAATGCCTCCAGATCAACATCAAGCTGCACAAGGAAAGACTCCGTGAGAGGATTTCTTCTCTTGAGCGCGTTCATAGCAGATAGGAGAAACCTCAGTGAGTCGGCTGTTTGGCTGTCATCCGGCCGACTCTTGAGATATTGAACAAAGACTCTCGCAGCCACGTAGAGGCAGAATGAAATAAACGGATTCATCTGGGTATATCAGCATTAGTTAGCCAAGATAGCGGGCTTCTCCATCCACGTACCGCGGATAGGTCCATGTGCGAGATGGTCCTCATGATGCTCGCGATTTCGTTCGCTGCGGTGATGCATCGAACTTTGCTCTCGGCACTCACGGACGCCGGGAGGCGGTTCTTGTCGGCTTTGAAAATTGCTGCTTGGTGAAGACAGATAGTAGACGTGTGGATGCTCATGTTAGTAAAGACAATATTGGGGTTTCCGAGACCAGCGGGAAGTTTGAGATGTGTTGGCAGGCAAAGCGAAGTATTGAGCAAGATGTTGTCCATAGTACGATGGCGCTTCCAGAATTCGCCGTTTAGATCGTGATCTCTGTCGTCCACGTCAGGCCGATGAAGGTGGATGAGGTTCCGACCGAAGAGGCATGCCATGAGCACAATACCACCAAAAGACGACAGCTTCCCGGCTCCAGACGGACTCATACATTCTTGTAGAGACTGTGTTTGCTCAGGCCGGCTCATATCGAAGGCCTCTTCTGATGATGGTAGATTGGTCATGATGTCCTTTTCGTCAACAGTCATGGGCCATCCAGTTCCAATGCTGGCGTAGCGATCCTCACAGAATGCCATCCAAAACGTACGGCGTCTCTCCTCACGTTCCGTCCAGTCTCGCGGCGGTGGGAGGCATTGCTTAACATCCAGGCCGGCGCCATCGAGCCTGTGCAGACCAATCCTAACCGATATTTAGCCTCCGGGTGATACTATAGCAAGAATCTACTCACATTTGGCATAGACGAACGGCTGAGCCGGTGCTCATCCAGGCCCTTGGGAAGTACATCATCTTGAACTCATAAGAAGCCAAAAGCACATGTGTTTGTGCGTGGGCCACAGAAATCATGTGTTCGCCGTAGCCTTTGATGTAGTCTGCTTCGACATACTTGCGGGCTCTCTGGTAAAAAAGATCCTTGAGATCAATATACTTTTCAGTGATTGAGCACGCCAAAGTCCATATGGCGTACCGCAGCGCAACTGGAGGTCGTTGGTTGGGCGCCCTAGAGAAGTCAGCGTCTTGGAAGGACATATGAAGGATATTGGGGTTTTTCTACAGGTTCATGGCAGCTAGGTATCTATATTTATGGATCATGGGAACCGAAGGATGACACTTTTCAAAGTATATCTGATGGCTGAAATTGTAGTGTTAGTCGGGGTGCAGCAAAACTCGAGCTTCTCGATAGGTGTGGCACTAACAGCTCGTCAATCGTTTCCTGCGGGGGGAGGGGCTCTTCTAAACCCAACCCAATCATTTCCCAGGTAAAATTGCTCCCGACGTTGTTCATTCCCATCGACATGTTGGAGTTGAAATTGAAGTCGTCCACGGGAGGAGCGGGCGCATTCTGGGTTTGGGGCGACTCGCCATTGAATCTCCAGCGTTCGGAATCGCGATCGGTGGGAACATTCAGGTTTGAGGACGCTACGTTGAAGTTCGAATTCGGGGCAGCTTGCTGAGTGCGGCTAGATGTGGTGTCAAGGCCAGGGGGTATCGTTCTGGAGGGGTCGGCGGGCGCGGAGGGTGCGGCGGGTGCGGCGGGGGGGTCTTGGGTCTTGAGAAGGGTTTCAACTTGCTCTTGAATAGGCGCAAAGAAACTTGGTCAGTCAAAGAACGAGGGAGCAACGGAAACAGGCCGGAAAGCTTCGACCTATGGCGATGGCATCGCACAGACGGACTCACTCAGTCGCTCCTCCAGAGCCTTGACGTATCCCCGCTTCGGACCGCTTTTCCTGCGAACTTCATCATAGGCGCAAGAATGACCCAACCTAGCACACGTGCTGCAACTCGGTCTGACACCGTCGCACTTCAACTTGCGTTTCCGACAAATCATACATGCTAGGCGCTTCGGTTTGGGAACATTGGTGTTGTCGGTCGCTGGTTCCTTGCCGTTGGAATCGGCGCCTGGGCTACCGCCCCTTGAACGTTTGTGGGAGTTGGCACCGTTCGTGTCCGGAGGCGTGGGTGTACTCGAGGACATTGCAAATGCGGAAATAACAACGAGTAGGAGAAGGCAAAGTCGACTTCGGGTATGAAATGCGGCGACGAGGATCCGGGGCAGGCGAAGATAGGTTATCTGGTGGTGGTCGGAGGGGGGACCGAAGGTCTCGGGGGCAGCGGACAGGTAAGATAGTGAGACGGTCGCGGGCGCGAAGCACAACGGTTGCGCTGAGCAGCGCGGCTCAGCTTACGGGCAAGTGGTCGTCGCACGTGTTAGGCCACTTCATTCGGCGCGCAATGTCGGATGGGATGGAGGGAGACAGGGGAAGGAGAGAGACAGAGACAGAGAGAGAGAGAGAGAGAGAGAGAGAGAAAGTCGAGTCTGATTAAGGAGGGAAGCGGGAGAAACATGTGGCGGATGCATCAATCTCACGTCTGAGCTGACGGCAATGCCAAGTTAACGGAAGAAATGATCACTGGTAGCTGTAAACTGGCACCAAAAGACTAAAAGTACAGAGAACTAGGGGTAGAGATGGGACTTGGTCAGGTAGTGGAGGGTGATGAGAAGCGCAAGACAGGCGTAGCCTAGGTACCTAGCCGCCATTCCAATTCGAGCTGGTCATGATTAATAACGACAGGGTACTTTGAGAGGCATCAGCATGGATGCCCCAGCGTCGGGCTTACTGCATACCTTACCTAAGGTGGGTAGTGTGTATATACTGGTAGTCGCAGCGCACTGTACCTAAACAGATGCTAAAATCTCCAAACCACCTACCTAAAGGGACCTGCGACTACGTTCCTCACCTCCACTACCTACCTTAGTGTATGTACGAGATACGCTCCTTACCTAGCTACATATAACCGTACGTCCCGTCATCTCATCATTCCATTACTTTCAACGCATCCGTTTCGCCATCCTTGCTCACAGAAACCTCGGGGGAAAAAGCACATGCTACATACGTAGCGGAAGAGTGCCTTCTCCTCCATCCCCAACATTAACACCATCAGAGGTCTCTGACCACAACTTTAGCGACGTCATATCACGCTGAAGTAGGCAGGCAGCAGGGACTCACTAAGTATTCAACTAATAGATACTGTGTATGTTGTAGCGTGATTGGAAACCGCTTGATTTATAATTTCTATATCAACTTGGCACTTTCACATCATTCCAGTTACCGCCGAACAACCGAATCCTCGGGTGTCAGGCAACGTTCAAATGCGCCTTCGGACAACTACCCATGCGCCAGGCGGGGATGGTGCCTTTGCCGCAGTGGACTCTCATAGTACGTTCAAGCTCATACTTGCCTGCGCATCCACACAGCCTCACCCGCAAATGACTGCAGAAACGGCAAGTATACTGCCCCCTCGGCTTCAATTTCGTCCGCGCTGACTCTCGCTAAGCAAATACCCCATCTTGTCAGCCGAGTCGAAACTCTCAACATCGCCGTCTCGCGTCCGTGGACGGCCGCTCAGTGCTGACTTACCCGATCGCGACAATATATTCACATCTGATTTGGTTTTCGCCCTTACTCCCAGCTATCAACCCCTCGAGCCCTTGTCACCCGGACTCACCACCACGCTTATTTTACTTCTTCTCGGCGTCTACACCGACGATGCGGAGAATTCCCAAATCGCTGTAAGCCAAGCAGTATCGAGTCGGAGCCCAGGACACGACTGGGCATGGCCCGGCTGTTTTGAGGGTATGCACTTGATCACCAGATTCGACATGCCTGATGTCTAGCCCGGATCCTTTGGAAATGATTAGCCTCCCCAATATCTTATTTAAGCCGGTGCCTAGGCCTACTCACCCTCGTCACTGCCCCCCACCAAGAAGTTGCCGTCAAATGTGAAGCCTTTGTGGCAATTAGAACCGCGGACAAGATTCCACTGTCCACAATCGTGAACTTACTGATAGACCGCACAGGGCCGACCATGCTTGTGATGGTTCGTTGGCAGATCCAGTCTGCTGTATCCCAGAGAGATATGATGGAGTCGGAACCACCTGTGGCAAGATACCGCCCTGTGGCCTGCATCTCAGCTGAAAGACACGAAGATGTATGACCACTCAGTGTAAACTCTTGAGGCTCGGTCCCGTAGTCGAGCTGGAACGCGGGCTGGAAGTCCGGATATGTAAGGATGCGGGTTTTTCCCTCTCCGGTTGTGAGAAAGATCTTCTTGCCGCTCCAGCAGAAGGCAACTTGGTTGGTCTGGCCAGGCTGCTGATGAGATGCCACGGGCGTGGGCTGGGTTGGTGATAGAACAAAGATGTTGTCCGTCTGCCTGGGGTGAGTATGGCTCCCTTGAAAAGAAGAAGAAGAAGAAGAAGAAGAAGAAGAAGAAGAAGAAGAAGAAGAAGAAGAAGAAGAAGAAGAAGAAGAAGAAGAAGAAGAAGAAGAAGAAGAAGAGAACCACGGGTCACCGAACCTTATTACCAACAACTAGAGATTCGCCATCAGGTGCCCACGCGAGGGTGAACGCATCCCCCAGGCCCTTGATCTCGTTGATGCAGGTTTTTGATCGAACATCCCAGAACTTTACAACACCATCATTGCTAACACTGCATAATTCGGCGTCCTTCACCGGATTGAAAGCGACTTTCTCAATTGGGGCCGAGTGGCCCTTCAAGTCGGTAGAGAAGCGTACGTTTGGCTTCTCAGGATTCCCTAGTCAAGTTGGACACGTCAGCTTTCGTACTTCAGCAATGGTGCCAAAAGTACTTACAGACGCGCAAGGTTTTGTCTGATGATCCAGTTGCGATCAACGTACCCAGAGGACTCCACGCAATGGATCGCAAGCTAGAGCAACGAGTGCTTTAGCAGGCATGTCCGAAGCCCAGAGGATTGCACCGTAGCTCTCAGACTTACCTGTGCCCTCTCGAGCTTGAGCCTGGGTCATGGTAGGGCTGACTCTTCAGTCCTGCTAAATAGGTAGGCATCCTCTCCTTTGAGAGACTTGGTCGTGTGCGGGGAGGTGCCATTGTACGCTACGCAAATCAAGGTTGACGAAATGAGCGATGTACGAAACTTGAATATGTCTGGTTAGTGAGCACTCGGCGTAAAATGGTTGTAATGGGCCTCTCTCATCACTCACACGCTAGTCTTGTCGTAGATGCGACCCAAGGCGAAATTTCGCATTCGCCCAACTATCTTACGGGGTGCTTCTGCCTCGGTTTGCGCAACCTCACGCGTTGCACCTGGGGACAAAGTGTAGCTGAGGCAGCTGTCGACAGCAAGGTGTGGTTGCGAAGTCAGTGGACCCTGCCGCTCCTTTCATGATTACCTAATGTGATAACCTTCACACAGTGACTGATAGGTACACCTATCCCACGGTCTTAAAGGTTAGTGCGGTACTTTGTGGGTCTGGGGAAGGGGCACTATAGGGGGTCTTCTAAGGCTAGAGTTACTTTCTAATCTATTTAACTTTGAGGTTACTTTTTAGGATTATATACCTAAAAATAGTAGTAAGTATTTACTTATTTAATATAGTAAAAGTCTTCTTTTTTTTACCCTCTATTACTCTCTCTCTCTATCTATCTTATTATACTTTAATATAAGCTTTATAGATCTCTCTAACTTTATTAATAGTATACTATTAGTTCTTAAAGGTACTACTACTACTATTATTAATATTACTACTCTTAGTAGTAGTAGCTATTAACATATAATATTCTTTTATAATAATAATAATAATATAAGAATAATAATAACGTTTAACTTACTTTAATATTCTATATAAAATAAACGAATAAAGTTTAAGGTATTAAACCTTA